TCAAAAAGACATTTGAATATAGCTAATTCTGAAGATTATAAAAAGAACAGAGTACGCATGAATATTGCTCTGCTAATAGGCAAATATATTTTTAATTAAAATTAAAAAAGCACATTAAGTAAAAAGCTTTGTAGTGCTTTTTTTTGCAATAGGCTACCAAACACCCGTTGCATGACATCGAATAGGTCGATTACATTGAACGAGAGACGCTTTAATCATGGAAGGGGTTGTACCTGGTACAAAAAAGTACCTATGTACTGAGATTTCAACTTTTTTCTAACCCGCAAAAAATACTGTGTCATATCTACTTCATGTTATTTTATAGTGAACCGTGTGTTCATTCGTTTTGTCTATAAAATTTTCGAATGTTTTGGCTTATGTGTCTTTTAGGAAGAAGTTAATGCGCAAAATGTGGCTAGAAAAGGGAATAAGAATACGAAGAAAATTCCCCTGATATGGCAACGAGAGCAGAGGAATTCTCCGACGCTATGGAACAGGTTTTGAATTCACCCAAGTAAGCAACACTATCGTATCTTCTAGTATTACTAAATTCTATTGTGATTTTCTGTAAATATCTCATTCTTGATTCTGCTCTCTTGGAAACTATTACATAAGTGTCCCAGAACTTTAAGTAGGTAAAATTTAAAGAGTACATTCGCAATGCCGTTAAAACGTATGGTTGAGTATATTGCACTCCAATGTAAAAATTGCACTAGTTAAATAAAATAATTCCAGATCGTCCAAGCACTCCTTTCATTTTCGAATTTCCTTACTGTTTTCCTAGTTAAGAAAGTCTAATTCCACTATGTTTCAGAAGGACGAGGGAATGAACTTATTATTTCATTAGTCCATTATCTGTATCTGTTGCGAAATAGCGACGCCAACGGAAAACACAGAACAAGAGCTCGAAAACGTTTTCTGTATGTTTAGGAAAAATGTCGAGTGTGATGTTTATGAATACTTGGAGTCTGCAAACTATAAATGGATTCAAGATATTATTGACTGACTGACATTTTGCAACTTATATTGTAGAAGGACCAGTATATATGTAGAGATTGAGACAAACAATAAGCTGTATAATTATTTAGTTGGATTGGTTGCATACTGTGATTTATAATTTTCAAATGTGTTACAAATATACATTTTCTAAAATGACCTTTTTATTTCAAATGCACTGATCCACGGGCAGGAGGGGATATTTACATCCCAAATAAA